AATACAGCTATCATCTTTTCTTAACAGATCGAGATTTTCTGACAGCTACGGGTGTGTCCCCATCATCAAAGTCCTAAACTTTGTTTTGAGCCTTGGTCGGACATCGTAATAATCGAACCAAGTCTCGTCACATGTCATGATGCTGCTCACATACCGAGATTATCCCTTATCAAACATTTTCAGCATCGTTCGGCACCAAGTCTAACGACGAGTATTCTGCTCTTCCGTCAGACTATGCGGTACCCAGAGAGAGAACAAAGTTTGATTACGTACTGATGTAGAATTGTATGGAATGCTGGTGCATTGATGTGCAGGGTCTCCTCTATCTGTTGGTATGTCACTATCCGATCAAACATTTTCCTCATAGCAGTAACGTCTTCCTCTGTTACTGACGTTCGCGGCCTTCCTTCCATCTCAGCATCCTCCAGAGAGAAATTGCTTCTTTGGAATTCTCTGTACCACCTGAATGTAGTCTACGATGCGGACAATCATTCTTTAATGCAAACTGCATTTCTTCTAAGCACTGGTCTATGCTTAAACCACAAGTTATACCGTAAAGCTGCCCTTATCTCACTACGTGACCACGATGCCCTAGTACACACTTTGCAGTGTCAATACAAATCAACAGACGTGCTGCTGGTGGCTACTATGCACTCATGGACATGTCTCAACAAGCAGTAACATGCAGTTTATTAAGTCATATTGCAAAGCTTTTATAGCCTTTGTATATGCCATCTTCGACCCCAAAAAACAATATGAAAAATTCTAATGTTGCCAAAGTTCAAAAATATATTCTAAACATTCATTAAGAATGTCTCAGAGTATTTTGGGATATTGTTATTGTAAATCTTTGTTTTTTAATTCCTTATATTGACTTACCATGGCAATGATTTATAAAATGGTGAATGCATAAATATCCTGATGGATGCGCCTCCACCAAAATTAAATTCATAAATTATATAAGATGTAAGCTCATTCACCTTTTATAAATATAAACATGATGTCAATTCGCTGGCTTAGAGTTATAAGGTTTTAAGTTACAATATAAGCCTTCGAGAAAAAGGAGTTTAATGTGCAGACTCTTTTATAGTAAGTTTATAAATAATAAATAATCGAAATACCTGCTGAAAAGAAGTAGTTAGCAAGAAGGCTCTACATTCTTGCTATTAGCTTAATAAATATTTATTGGGAGAAGATTGTCCCAAGAATCAAACACACATAAAATTTTTATTTATTTTAAAGAAAAAAAAACTTTGCTTACATTTTAAACAACATAAGAATACAGTACTTTAATTAAACTAAAACTTCAGTACATTTTTAAATATCACGAGAAATGAATTATCAAAAATAATTCCAATTCATAACATGTACTAACATAGGTTTGAATTTTATATTTTATTTTTTTTTGTTTTTTTTTTCAGTTTAATTTGAGGAATATTAGCTTAATAAAATTGTTGGTGAATTAGTGGCATCTATTTTAACATTCTACTGAGTGGAAGCTCTGCTGATACAGAAATGGCTCTTGCTTCGTTGCCAAGATGCTTTTCATGGTACTCTCAGGAGATATTTCAGAGCGAATAGCCTCAACAACATCAGTGCTAACATAGGTCATTCCTTTTCAGAAGATTCTTCTACGGAAGACTCTTCAGATGAATCTCAGCATAGCACATCAACGGAATCTTCTGAAATAACCGAAGATATAATGAAGAAGTTGCGACTTTCTTCTCATCACAAGGGGCACCGTGTAATTGTTCAAGGTACAAAAGTTTTGATAACATACTATAAATGGCAATAATCAAATAAATATCATTAAATATTCCAATCCATTTGGTAGTATCCGTGAACAGAACTTATATTTGTCAGGGCTTATAAATGAGAAAAATGTAAAACGAAGAACAAGCAGAAAGTTTGAAGATAAGACTGATTTTCTTACAGCTGCATACAGTAAGGGTAAAAGATGGAAATAGCAACAATTATTTTATAAAAGATGTGCCTGTATGTTTAGCATTTATTGCACGTAATGGAATTATCAAAGAAAATGTAGAATATCTACAAAAAAGCATAAAAATTAAAAGATTTTAGTGATATTAACTCATTTAAAGGAAGATTGCGTCATTAAAGTTTTAAAGACAGTAGAAATATGATTCAAAAACCAAAGATTCTGATAAATTCATGTTTAATAACTAAAAGGTCCAACGGAAAAACAATATTACATTACATATAAAACATCAAATTAGTTCTAACTAAAACTTACTGCATACTTTGCTCTCAATAAATATAATATACTTTCAAACTTTCAATTGCATTTTAATCAAAAATGTTGATTAGGATATTAACTGTTATTTGCCTGTACCTTTCAATTGTTCTAGCCATATCAGGCCAATCATTTGGCAGAACTCCTTTCGCATACCAAGACACACTCACCATGACCTTTCCGACAGATGCAACAGACTTTTCTCTTTGGCGCTGAACCCCTAGCTTTCACCCACTGCTTCGACTACCGTTTTGTCTATGGCATTCAGTGATCGGATGAATCGATTTTGATCGATAATCAGCAAATACGGCACGCACCCCACGCAAAGCCGTCTCATCTTGAAGTGTGCGAAATGGTTAACACCCCTATTTCCGATATCCTCGGGACCTCAGCTATCTTATCCACCTGCACATGCCCACTGTTTGTCACAATATCATGGAACTTTTTGGTGGTTGCGGTTTTTGGCAGTCCTATACCTGGGACAACTTCAAGGGAGGTGCTATAATGTTCAAGTTCAGCTGCTTACCTATTCACAGTTAAGATCGAAGGGGAAAAGCCGTTTTTATTAAAGAAATTCGTGCAAACTACTTGAGAGAACGAAACGAAACTTGTCACACGAACAAATGGAATGTGCACCCATGAAGGAATTACGGGGCAAATTTTTCAAATAAGAACCGATTTGTAATGGTATCAAAGAAACTTTATGGACGTTGTAATGAATTTTTTTCCAAATAAAAATAGGGAGCTGATGCTCCACTTATGTATAATTTGTTGCGAGTTCATTCTCAGTTTTCCTATGAATAAAAATTTGTTCATTCTCCTCGGAAGGAGAATGTACTCCATAATTTTGGAGTCTGGTATGTAGCAGACTTCAGTTTGACTATGGTACAGCTATGGCTGAGGTCATTCTTAATTTGCGTTCTAAAAAATATTACAAACCTAGAAGATGTACCTGTGATCGTGGCTTTAAAGTGTTATATCGATTTACTAGAGAAAACGTAGAGTGGATATCAAATCACTTTTTGGGTACAGAATCTGGAGAAAGAAGGGGTGGTGCTATACAGGCTGACTTTGAAGTTGAAACACTAATTTTCAGATAATGATTGTAGAAGGAAGATAAACCAAAATATGTGTGTAAAAATAAAAAAAATGTTACCTTGTTTTATAAAGTATCCTCCCGACAAGTATTTCAGTGCGGACCTGTATTTGATCGTGCGGTCTTGGAGCACCGGCATACCCTCCCCTGTGAGGTCTCAAGTCACCTGATTCACGAGCCCTTTGTACTACGTTAACAAAGGCACGAGGAGTTAGTTGCACTCGATTGGGAAACCGATCCGCATAAATCCGTGATGCTGCGTAAATAAGAATCATGTCCACAAGTTCAGCATTTTCGTAAACATGTGCCATTTTTTATTTCGTTTGAGCCACGCAACAAACACCACTATTCACTCCCGCGTTACCGACTGACACATTGACTGAATACAACTGAATAAAATTGTAAAAACATCGTTCCAAATTCTTTCGCTTTTTTGTTTCCGATGCGATGAACCGATAAGGCGGATTATATCCGTTGTTTCCAAACACGAGCATATAAAATTATTATTGAGACAGGGCGGTACTCAAACTTCCAAAGGGCTATAACTTTGTTACTTTAATTTTACCAGAAAAATGGTAAAGGAAAAAAACATTTCTTTTGATTAGATCTACTCACTGTTAAAATAAATGACTCAACTTAGAAGTAACATTGATAAAATTAAAATATTTTTGAGATACGTTGGTGATCCGGGTTTCCAATCAAGAGTAGGAGAAGACGTTGGTGTTCATCAAAGTCCTGTCTCAAAAGTAGTGACGGAAGTTACTGAGAAGATAATAGAAAAATGCGGACTGTGGATAAAATTTCCTCAAACTGCTGCAGACATAATAGAGCCGAAACAAAAATGGCAATCAAAATATTATTTTCCGTGTGCATTGGGCATTATAGCGTTATAGACTGTACCCACATAAAAATAAAAAAGCCACCTATCCATAGCGATGAATATATTAACCGGATATCACGGCATTAATGTGAAAGCCACATGCAACTCAGATGAGTGGTTTACAAGTGTAGATGCTTCATGGCCAGGATCTGTTCACGATTCACGAATTTGGAGCAATTCAGAAATTTCAAATATTGCGAGAAACATTTTTCAGAGATTGCAAGCACTACTCTTAGGAGATGAAGAATACACTACAAGAACGTGCTTATAACAATTTATTTACAAAGGAACGTGTAACAATTGAAAGATGTTTTGGTCAACTAAAACAACGATATCCAATGCTACAATATAAAGTGCGGGTATCCATAGCAAAAGTTCCAAAATTTGTCATATGCTGTTGTATATTACACAATGTATCCAAATATTTAAAAGATGAGCTAGATCCTATGGAGCTCCATTAGAAGATATCCGACCTTGGGTGTCCTGCAGAAGAGGAGGTGGACAATAATAATATTATAAGAAGCGGGCAACGGAGGAGATCTGAGTTAGCGAATATCATTGTTGCTCTTGCTTGAAGTAAGTAAAATGTAGAAATAACGTATTTATCATTTTTATTATTAACACTTTAGAAAAATGTCACATGTTACAATTCTTATATTTCGTAAGTGATTCTAAAGAGTATTATAATTTGAAATATGCTTGTCCATCTTCACCGTGAATGATATTATTACTGCTTGAATTAGATTGTTCATCATCATCTCTGTTTAGCTGTCTCTTGAGTTCTTCCTGTTTCATTTCTAACACTGTCAGTTGTTTCAGCAAGACTAGTCTTTGTAGTTCGTTATTCGAGAGTTTTTTGGTAACGTTTGTTTCATATTCTTCGAGTGGACTAACTTTATTGTGTTTCTTTTTTTAGGTGCATGTTGTACTGTGCTAATAGCATCATCATTTGCTGCACTCGTTTCAGAAGCAGAAGTTAATTGCCTAGGGATTGTATCTTCGTGGCTGATTTTCATCTCTGTTTGTTGTATGCCGACGGATAATGCTCCTAAAACGAAAAATTAAGTAAATATTCATACAGTATCTACTATAAAAAATGGACAAGTGATAAACTTTCGCAGATAGTATTGTAACCTTTTTTTTGACTCTAAGCTACAAAAATGTCAAATGCAGAAAATAACAACTAATAGCAAACTTTAGATACGTTTACTAATAATATGAAAATGTAAGTAAAGTTATTTATGAAGAAAATACTAACTAATTTACTTGGAATTTTTGCAAGTACTGGATTTGTGTTGCCTTCCATGAGTTCCAACAAAATATTTTCCCAATCCTGCAGCACAATTTTCTTATTTCCAGTTCTGTTTATGTCAGTCTTTTTCTTGAGTCTGGATTTCATATTATTAATTTTTTTTACATTTGACTTGTCGTTATTTGTGTTCCGAAATTCAGCCTCCACCGGTTTTTGATCAGTTCTAGTGCTTTGATTCTTGACTGTCGGACAGTTGGTGTTTGTGACTTGAATAAAAGAATGGGAAAATCACGTAGCATATTTACAAATCCCGCTACTTTATGTGCTAGGAGCAGATACTCCTCTCAGCGAAATATTTTTATTCATGCAAAACGGAGAACAAACTAACACTTGATGCTTATGCTCATGAGTACACACTCGGAGTTTAAACCCAAGTGTTATTCATATCAGCCATTATTTTGTCTCATATAAAGAGTCTCGAATCCTCAAACAAACCTGATGTTTTTATGACATACCACAGTCGTTTTTGTTGCCATGTGTTACACACAGAAATAGAAAGAAAATTATATTTTTCGTTTTCCGTATTAGAATTTATTCTGTTGAATGAAAGGATCTAAATTCTAAATCCATCTTTAAGCATTGTGGTAGCATTTGACGATATTCAGGACGTCAAGAATGCATCATGAGGCAGTGCTAATAGGTTCAGGGGTTTCAGGGGAAAAACAACACTCCAAAGTGGCGTATCGAGGCTCTGGCTCAGACATGTAGTGCCCTTATAACGAATGAGAAGTCTTTGTTCTACATCCCGATGCCTTGGAGGACTTGTCACACAAGCCTCTTGGAGTTGTGGGCCCTGTAAGGTCCCTGACAGTGGGCAAAAAGGCACTAAGGTTCCTTTGATTGTAGTCGTGGTTTAAATGCATTTTAGAGTGGCCAGCGTGCGGGAATAGCAACCTGAACAGAGCTGATGCACTGGCAGACGTCGGGGAGGCGTTAGAACTGGCTAAAGGCCCTTTTGGGACTTGAAACCCTGTAGGGTCTGATCTAGCTCTGGGGAACGAGATGCCCTAGGGGTGTGGGTACTCATTTTATAGAAACGCCATAAGCAATAGAATATAAATACTTTTGATACAATCAAATGCACCACGTCGGCGTCACGACGTCAAGAAGATTCGAAGTGGCGGAGGGAATGACGTAGCGACCAAGGTCGGTTCTAGAACATTGGCGAGCGCTATAAAAGCGCGGGCGTATGTATGTCGTGGCTTCTACCGCAAGCGACTTGCTGCTATAGAGATGAAGCTACTCCGGATCGCCACCAGTGCACCATCCTACGTAAGAAACTCAACCTTGCGTAGAGACCTGCATTGGACCACCATTCACGAGTACATGAGGAAAAAAGCGGAGAAGACCTTCCAGAAAGCTCAGGACCACCCGAACGAGCAGCTACGACTCCTCATGGACTACGATCCGGACGAGAGGCCTCGCAACCGCAGAGCCTGGTACCCTAGACCAAGGTCCCAGTTGGCACCCGCTAACTGGAACCTTGGCTAGGAGACCCCACTCTTGTTTTTTCGAAAACAAGAGTTTCAAGAGAACATAGCAAACCCTATATCGATGCCCGCTTAACGACATCGATAGAACTGTGCGAGGTAAAGGGAACCAACCCGGCGTTCCCAGAGACTGAAACACATGAAAAGACGTTGTAGCAGACCGCAGGTCACGCACAACACATGGCCTACCGAGACGCTGATGAGTCGGGCCACGCGGAGGTTAGGGTTTAGTGGGTATTAGGTGGTCTCCTCAAGACAACCTAGAGTCCCACACACGCCGTAGCTCGGGCTATGGTATGGTGCATAAACGCATTCCCCCATCACCAAAAAAAAACCGTGGCTCTTTTTCCGTTCTCTCCTGGCAGCCAACCGTAGTACCGAAGTACCCGCTTGTACCAAGAGGTAAAGGGTGTTACGTTTGACCAATGCGTTCCGTTTTAGTGATATAGTGGTAATTTTGGTAACCTTAAGTGAAGTATTGTTGGAGGTTCTGGATTTATTTTTTTTTGTTGAAACTTTGCTTACCGTATAGAGCCTAATCCAGAATCCGGGTGATTTTATTTTTCTCTGATTGACCAGTTCTGTAGTCGTAGAAATTGTAGTGTACCGTTTTCAGTGAATATCTTTGGTATACGAAATTTGAGAAGAGAGTCGTTTGTTTTCCTTTTATTTTTGAATATTGACCATACTAGTTTGCTGAAGGAAAAAAAATAACTGAGTTGGATTTTGAGAATATTTTAGAACAAACCGTTTATGAATAGGTTTACTAGCCTTAGCGTAATTTACATTTGAGCCTTAGTGTATTGTTTTGAATTCAAGTTGAAGGACTGGAGTTTAAAACTGGAACGGCGTAAATGAGATATTTCTTATTAAATCTTGATATCTACGTTGGCCCTAGTGGACTTCTCTGGTGGTAAATAAGAGCTGACCGGTGAAACAAATCTAACCGGTTTGATCTACAGCTACTACTTTGGGCACCTTGAGAGTTGGCTTATGTCAAGTAGGTAGACTCTGCGCATCAGTGTTGGTTAATTGCGGTACTCTGGCTCCTCCATTATACAGAAGCCCTTTTGTTGAAGATTATTTGCATATATTTATAAATTCGACTGGTGATTCGACATACCCGACCGCATCTACCAGGCAGTATTCTCAATTCCTCTAAATACGACTCCCTCCCTCGCAAGTTAGACACCGAGTTCTCGGAAGTAACTAGTGAGGCAGGCCTTACTCGGTTGTGATTGCACAAGCCGGTGAGATCAGGGTATTCCCGATTCAGCTAGGTATCCCCGACTCCCACATAAGTTAGACACCGAGTTCTCGGAAGCAACTACTGAAGCCTCGATATACGTGGCGACTGTCTGGAATATGAACTGACTAACCCTAATGTCAATCACGCAGTGAACTGAAAGCCGAAACAAAAGGTATTTTTCTTTTTGGTTGGCCTTGCAAATTTTATATAATACATTTTTACGTCCCTGAAGGTCCCAGAGCTATAGAAAGATACTTACAAATATCGAATTGTGATCATTATATCCCAGCAAAGTCCCAGATATGCAAAAGTGTTTTATAGGTTGAGTCATTTTGTCACAAAATGTTGCGACTCCAATATTGTTTTTTTTTTTTAAGGTTTGGTAAACACGTTCATGAGGGAACTATTAGTTTAGTAAAGGTATATTAGCGATAGTACGCGGCTTGATTTTAGGAGTTTTATAGTTGCTTTAGGGTTCAAGAAGCAAGTCAGGGAGGCACATCTTTGCCTGCAGTGTGCTTACTTCCCTGGGGTGCAGATTGAAATCCAAGCGATAACGAGACAAACAGAGCTTGAAGTAGACGCGGGTTAACTAAACGGCTGGTCTTCTTCTTCACCCAAACATATCCATATTGCTGAAAACCGTTCATCGCTTTGGGCTTATCGCATCGCACCATTACTGCTTGCTAGCTTGACCGCATACTGCTTCCGCTTTAACCGTTGCTTTTTAACCGCTTTTGATTCCGGCCGATCCCGAGTTAACCGAATGTCCTCCTTCTCCACTCTATCGTTAGGGTAGCTAGATTCAGATAGGGATTTCTCTCATTTATACATATCACTTGAGTTATCCCGACCGTGCATGAAGTGTATATATTTGCTGTTATTATACCAGGTTGTATTATAAGTCTTGCTTTTAATCACAAATACCGTCCTGCCTGCAGTAAAAGATACAAAAAGAGAAGTAGTAGAAGTAGAAAGTATCTCGAGTGTGACCCTTTGAGCGTGAAGCATCAAACCCCTGAATTATTTTCTTCACTGAAGCTGCTCAGGTGACTGTTTCAGCCTATACTGTTGTCTCCACACTCTAAACAGGAGGCTGACGCCCGAGGAGTTGCTGAACTAGAGAGGCAGGTAGTTCGCCAGTTATTGACCCCAAGGAAATAGCGTTGCATCGTGAGTGTTTCCACAAACTGAAATATGATTTTTTTTTCATTTTTCAACAGTTCGCCTTGCTGGGTCTCAGCTATGGCCGCTAGACGCCGCCATTTCTGGTGCTATAGCAAATACAATGTACTCGCCATTGAACAAACTGATAATATAGCTTTCGTTTGACGGCCACCCATGGACAGCTGTTTCGCGCAATGAACGAAAGCTGAGCAACTATTCTCTATCCAGAGTATAAGGTCTATCGAAATAAGACAGCACAAAGTGCATCTGTCGATTCTAGAAGGAAAAAGAAACAAAACAAATAAAAGTTGCTAAGGCTTCATTTTTTAGCTTTAGAGACTCCGGTTCATTTTTTAAAATTTTGTCAAGGAGAAAAAACTAGGGGTGGGGGTTGCAGGGATTGGGAGGGGATATCTGTCATTTGTTTACGTTAATATGCTTATACGCTTCCAACCTCAGTATCGTATGGGTGGGGACCGGGGACTTATTGTATGGACGTATTCAACTGACTCGATTCATTGAATAGCTTTGTTATACACTTGCGCATCTAACTTTTTTCTAAGCAGGGCTAGCGTAGTAGTTGTTAAAGGTGGGGGGTGGGGATACCTGGTAACTAGGTCACCTTTGGCCCATTTTGCTGACCCCGTTGTACTAGCACTGTAACACTCCACATACATATACGCTGACCATTGTATAAACCACCTCCAGAGCGACGCGATCTACCTACAAACAGAATATACATGGTTTGAAATGTGATTTCCGAGATCGGGATTCGAGCCCTCGATTCTTGGACTTACAATTACAATGTTTCCTAATATAAAATATCTAGG